ACTGGTCTCAAACTCCTGGGGTCAAGGAATCTTCTTGTTTCAGCCTTCAGAGTATCTGAGACCACAGGTGCCTGCCACCATGCTCAGCTCCCATTTTTATTTCTATATTATGTGAAATATTTCTATATTGAGATTTTCTTTGTGCCCTCATATATGGTTGGCTTTTGAAAAGTTCTATAGATTTTTAAAAGAGGATGATTGAATAATAGATGGTGTAAATTTCATGTTTAATTATTAAGGTAACAACTGAAAAAAAAATTTTTTCTCGTTTGTTTTTGTCTATGAATGTAAGATAATACCATCTACTAAGTAGGTTTTTTCACTTTCTCTTCATTCCTATAATTCTACTTTATAAAAGTTATGGTTTTATTTTCTGCTTGACTAATTATAATTATTGTGTTATTATTGTGATCTGATACATTTTGCATTATATAGCACTCTTTTAAGATGTATTTGAATGTGTTTCGGACCTAAATTTCACCTTTTTGTTTTTAAAATGAAAGACCTGTTTTCTTTAATTTAATTTTTCTATTATGACTGTCCAACTTTTTGCCTTCTGAATTATTTTATTATTTTGTATAATATTTTTTCTAAAGTATTTATTTTACTATGTCCTATAGAGCAGAGTTGGGTCAGACATTGTTAGACAAGCAGAAATTTTTATTTTTAATAGGTAGTTTAAGTATAACTATTAGTATAATAGTTACATTTACTCCTTGAGAATTCTGCTCACCTGCCTGTTTTCAGTCTCTGAGACAGGTTTGCTGTGGTTTTCAGCATATTGCCCTTCTGCATTTAAGAAGGTTGTATTTTTATTCCAGTAGCTGCCTTCATTCTTGTATCTTTATATGACATGCTCAGTTCTTAGTTTTTAAGATAGTATTCTTTTCCTTTTCCTGTCCTTTCTTTCTTTCAGCAAAATAACTAACTAAAAATATTCTATAGTCATTTGTGTTGCACTTCTTGTCAATGTAGCCTCTGCTCTCTCGCTTGCTATCTGATACTTCCAGGAATCAGAGATCTCACTGAAATCAAAGTGTGAATATGTAGTACTTTAAGGTAAACCTTTAGGGACAGAAAGGCTGTTCTTTCTAGAGTTTTTGGAGATCCGTTACTTGGAAGCATTTGTTATTATTTCCTCTTACACATAGCAACTTGTTGCTGTTGCCCATTTGTGGCTTCTTCTTATTCTCAGACAATTCTTACATGCATTCTAATCTTGAATTATGACTACTTAGTTTGGATGAGAGTCGAGCTTGCAGATTTGGCTTGTGTGTGATATTCAGAAAGATGAAAGGGAAATCCCTTGCTTATGCCACTACTTGATACAAGAAGTATCTTGTTCGATTTTGTTGTCTATCTTCTGCCACTAAAATATAGGCTTAATGCAGACATCAATTTTTGTTTCCTGTATTTACTACTGATTGTCCAAATTTCAGAATTGCTTGGCATGTAACAAGTACTCATAACCATTTGTTGAATGGCTAAATTAATAAATATGAACATTCCTGCCTTGAATTAAGATTTACTTGTCTATGGGTCTCAATGCCAAGAAAATTTAAAGAAGAAAACATTCAATTCAACTCAATTTAACATTATAAAATGCAGACCTGATGTTAAATTTTCCTTCTAAGGCTTCTTTTCCATTTGAAATTCTAATCTATCAGGTAGTTTATATCCAACTCATTGGATTTTTGTTTAGATATTATTAGAATAATCCAAATATAGGTGCTATAAACATTCATGTGTTAAGTCCTGTATGGGCATATATTTCCAGTTATTTGGGGTAATTATCAAATAGCGGAATGTCTGAATCATATGTCATGCATCAATTTAGATTTTGTGTATTTTTTTGCTATTTGTAAAAGACAATTGTAAATTTACATGTAGTTTGCATTTGTTTTATATTGCTGATATTACAAGTCATAACAAACTTCATGGCTTAAAATCTCCCTTACCTTTTCCAACTTTTGGAGGAGTTCCTCATTCCTTGGCTCAGAATCACATCACTCTGGCCTCTCCTCCCTCCCTCTTATAAGGACACTTGTGATTGAATTGGGTCAACATAGATAAACCAGGATAATCTTCCCTTCTCAAGGTCTTTACTTTAATCATATCCAAAAACTGCAATTCCTATGTACAGTTACATATTCATAGATTCTAGGGATCAGAACATGACATTATGGGGGGGCATTATTATTCTACCAGACTCTACTCTCTGGCTCCTAAGATTCACATCTGTCCTTCATGCAAAATGCATTCACACATACAGGCAACATTGCCAAAAAGGCTCAATCCCCTCCAGTGTCAACTCAAAATCCAAAATTTTAATTAATCTCATCAGTTCAAAGATCCCACATCTTAGCATTTAAATCATCTAAGTCAGGTATTGGTGAGGCTCTGACTGTAATTTATCCTCAGGTACAGTACAGTACCTCTTTGTCAATCTGTGAAACTCAAGAAAGAAGCTATTTGCACCCAAATTTCATCATGGGACAGGCAAAGGATGACAGTTATAAACATTGTAACTGAAGGAGGGAGAAAATTGAAAAAACAAAGATGTCACTAGTTCCAAGAAATTTTGAAATCCAGCTAAGTACACAGCTTTAGCTGTCAAGATCAGGGAATAATTATCTGTGATTTGTGGCTCCACCCTCTTGGCTCAAAGTTCTAATCTTAGAGTCATCCTTTTTCTTTCTTTTTCTTTTTTTCTCTTTCTATGAAGATTAGCATGTTATTGATGCTGAGTCATTTTTACAACTTACTTCCTGCCGGCAGAATTTTGCAGGTCTGAGGACCTTCGTTCATTTTGTACTCTCTCAGTTCCTTTCAGTTCAATATGACAGTATAAAGTTCTCAAGTACTTTGTAACAACTCTTAAAATCTAAATTGTCTGATATTAGTATAGGTGACTTAACTCTCTCTTGGTTAATATCTGCATGGAGTATCTTTTTCCTATTCTTTCACTTTCATCCTACTTATGTCTTTGCTTCTAAATTGAGTCTCTTATAGACAGCAAATAACTGGATCATGTTCTTTTTACTTTTAATCCATTCTGCCAATCTCTGCTTTTTTTTTCTTAGAGAGTTTAATCCATTTATATTTGAAATAATTAAAAGAGATTATTACCACCATTTTGACAAGTGTTTTCTGTATACCTTTTAGCCGATTTGTCCCTTGTTGTTTTCACCATTCTTTCCTTCTTTTGTGTTTAGTTTTCTGTAGTTACACATTTTCATTCCCCTCTCAGTTCCTTCTGTCTATATGTTATAACTATTTTCAATGTGGTTGCCAAAAAGATACATATAATATCCTAGCTATTATGATCTAATTTGAATTGATACCAACTTAACTTCAATTATATACAAAAACTTTTCTCCTATTCAGCTATTTCTCTCTTATGTTATTGATGTCACAAATAATAATTTTATACTTTGTGTGTTCAATAACATAGGATGTTTATAGTTATCTATTTATAGTTTATAGTTTATCTACTTATCATTTGTCTTTGGAATCCTGTAGAAGAAAAATTACAAACCAAAATTACAATAACACTGGCTTTTATGTTTACCCATGTATTTACCTTTACTGGCGATCTTTATACCTTCATATAACTTTGAGTTACTGTCTAGTGATCTTTCATTTCAACATTTCAAATTCTCTCTTTAGCATTTCTGAAGGGCAACTATAATGATAATCTCTTCCTCAGCCTTGTTTATCAGGGAATGTATTAATTTGTCTTTCATTTTTGAAGATTAGATTTACTGGATATAGAATTCTCAGTTGATTGTTTTTTAAGCACTTTAAATATATGATTCCATTGTTTTCTAGTCTCCAAGGTTTCTGCTGAGAAATCCACTGATAATCTTATTGACGATCCCTTGTGCATGATGAGTCACCTTGCTCTTCTTGCTTTCAATGTTTTCTCTTTGTCTTTGACTTTTAATGGTTTAATTACAATGTGTTTTGATGTGAATCTTTTTGGAGGTTTCCTACTTGGAGTTTGTTGAGCTTCTTGATTTATATTATCCATGTTATTCCTCAAATTTGGGACAATTTTAGCTATTTTTCCTTCAAGTAATTTTTCTGCCCCCTTTTCTGTCTTGCTTCTCATTTGGGACTCCACTTATAGGTCTGTTCATCCACTTGGTGTCTCACAAGTCTATTAGGTTCTGTTTATTTTTCATAATTCTTTTTTCTTTCTGTTTCTCAGACTTGATAATCTGAATTGTCCTATCTTCAATTTTGCTAATTCTTACTTCAGCCTACTCAAATCCACTGTTGAACTCCTCTAGTACATTCTTTAATTTATTGTAATTTTAAGCTCCAGAATTTCAGTTTTGTTACTTTTTATAATTTCTATTTGTTGCTATTCTCATTTTATTTGTATATTGTTTTCCTGATTTTTATTTTTTAGTTCTGCATTCATGTCTTTCCTTAGTTCTTTGAACATACTTAAGACAGTTGTTTTAAAATCTTTGTCTGGTAAGTTTTTTGTCCAGTCTTTCTTTGGAATGGTTTTTATTAACTTATTTTGATCCTCTAGATGAGCTATGTTTTCCTGCTTCTATGTATACCTTCTAATTTTTATTGTTGTTGTTTACAATTGTGCACTTGGCTATATAATGTGGTGACTCTGAAAATCAAGTTCTTCCTCTTCCCAGTTTTATTATTATTATTATTTAATGCTGTAGTAGTCTGTTTAACATTTTTCCAAAGCATTTTTTTTCTTGTCATGTGTGAAAACTGAAGTCTCTCTTTCTCTTCTTTTCTTTTCTTTTTTTCTTCCTTTTATTTCATCATATTATGAGGTACAAATATTGTTAGGGTTACAAATATTGCTCCTGCCCCCTCCTTCCCCCCCATGTGTTAGAGATTCAAGTGTGTCCAATCCCCGGGTGGTGAGCACCACACACTGAAGTCTCTCGTTCTTTAGCTCATGTTTATTTAATGTTTTGAAAGGTATTTCCTTGAATAACAAAAGCTGGAACAAACAGAAAATGAAAGAGAGAGAGAGAAAGAGAAAACAACTACCTCTACCAGTCTTTGCTATATGCTAGAGAATTTTCCAGTACTTATCTTGGCCTGCTCTGAGCCTAGGAATCAGCCCAGTTTGAAGGCTAAAGGTCTTCTTAGGACTTTTCATCTTCAAATACAGGACTTGCTTGGGATATGGGCAGCTTTCTAAATTTCCCCATATGCATGGCTGCTTTTGAATGGCCAAATTTCTCAAAGATTCCCAGCTCAAGTTCTTTCCCAAACCTTAGAGGATGCATTGTACATCTCCACTCATAATGTCTTCCCTTGGGTGTTGGTAGATTTGTCTTCTCTATTGTACCGTTTATGAGCGGTTCCTGCTCCTTTTCTCCCACCTGCATTCTGAGTGAAGCAAAGTGAGTACGTGTATCAATCCTTCAGGTATCCTCCAAACAGGTTAGAGCAGATATGCATAACACTTTGCAATTACTGTCTACTTTGCTCCCCTTCATTCCACTAGGGATTGAGATGTCGCCTGCTGAGGACTAAGACCTCCATTGTGCCCTGGAGGGAGAAAGAAAAGAATGAGTAAAAAAGCTACAGAACATTCATGCCATTTTTAAGATGGCTTTTTCTTGATTGAACATTTGCTTAGTTGTTGCAACCCTTTGGCTGTTTCCACAGATATACAAAGCTGGCTGAGAAAACTGCTGCTTGTTTTGTTTTTGTTTCATTTATTTTGTTTTTTATTTCTGTGGGAAAACAAGAGCTTGGAGATGCCTACTCTGCCATTTTGCTTATTTCACTCAAGTAAAATAATACTTTTAGAAGGTCCTATGCCCACAAGAATGGGTAGAACCTTAGATAAAATAATCGTAATAGATTTATGAAAATTGGAAATCAGATGAATAAGCAATAACTGATTTAGTAGGACCAGCAAATCAGAATTCCCAAACAGAGAATAATAAAATTTGAGAACACATTCTCATATAGAAATTCATTTTGCTTTACTCAGAATGCAGGCAGGGAAACAGTGGCAGGCACTACTTGTAAAAGCCATAATGGCAAACTATTTGCACTGTAGAACCTCAAGAATTGGCAATACCATAAAGGGTTACAGAAATCAGAACTCCATTTTGATTTTGTTAACATTTTCTGCCTGCTATTATCTGCATGTCAGAGGAAGGCTGCTGGAAGGGAAATGATGGCTTACTCATTTGGGAAATTGATGAGCATTTAAATCAGTGGTTTACAAATACATGGGTAAGCAGCCAGGCATAACAAAATCAGTACGACTTTAACATTTCTAAATATGAAAGGCCAGGCATAGAGTGGTTATCAGAAGCACCAGCAGATGTGTAAGGAGTCCACCAGACTAGCATGATGGTCTTTAGTAGAACAACACAGCTACCGCCAGGCTGTGATTCAGCAGCAAGGAAACCAGAGAAATACATACTCACTCAGACCTCTTTCTCCAGCTGACCTTTCATCTATGGCTAGTTCCATTGGCTGACCTACACCAGGAGCCGGGCAAGGCATCCTGTTGGCACAGTCCACAAAGAGCAGCTGCCTGGGTCAGAGGTGAGAGAGAGGAAAAGGAAAATAGACATGCAGTAGCAAGCACATAATAGATCTCAAAATTGTATGAAAAACAATTAGTACCTAAAATAACAGTTACTGTGCTTTATAAAATCTAGGCTCTAAAGCTTTAATTTGGCTCTCAGCTTATCTATTTTATTGTCAAAATAAAACTCTCAATAACTTACTCCAGGAAGAATAACAGAGAAAATTAGTAGCTGTATATGTTAATCTAGGGTGTAATGTTCTGTGGGACTTTCTGTGCATCAAGAATACAAATGGTCATTTATTTTAATGTTCTCACAGTGCGTATTTGCTGTCAACATTTAATAAGCTATGCCTCAGCTGTCTTTACCTTCTAAGGGCATGTTTCTTCCATCACTCATCATCTCTTCTTTGCCATATCAAAAGTTTTGCATTTGGACAAATAGCAGAAATCACTATCATTCTGTAGTAAATAGAAAGTAATGTGATAAAAATAGGTATTTTAACTTACACACTGTTATAGTTTCTTTCTTTCATAGGACTACATTTTTTATGCTAAAAGCAAAAGCAAATTATCTCAACAAAACAGAAAGAAGAAAACAGTTGCTCACTGTTGGGACATAAATCAGAGCCCCGACTGCCTTTTGTTCCACCCTGTGTTTTCAGGAATGATCGCATTGCCAGGAGCCTTGCAAGACAGAGACGTCATCTCCCCAGAGCATGCTCACTGTCAGATATAATGAAGTCGACATCTTCTTCCGAAGTGAAGAGGAGGCGCTTGCTTTCTTCCTATTATAAAAGATTGGAGCTGTTTTCTTGTGATACCATCCACTGTGGGCGAAGGTGTCACCCGGTGCTCTTTGCGTTACTTGGTGGGACAGAGACAGGGAGGACTACAGCAAAAGCAGTGCTGATGTTCTGGCCGTCACTACGGCCATGAGAAAGTTTGTTTCCTCTGACACAGAAGTCTGTGTCTTCTAGCAGCACAGATGCAACCATGGCAAGTTAATTTTGTTAACTCGAAAGTAGGGTAAAGTTTCAGACACTTCCCAGTTCCTGACACTTTTGATGACGAAGCTGGGGCAGTGACAGAGGTCATGCCTTTCTAGGAAAAAGAGGACGAGCACCCAGTGGACTTACTATTCATCGGATTTGAAGGAAGTCCATGGGAATCAGTAGCAAACATATTAACCACATTGTGTGCTTAAACTGAGATATAAATGATCTTCTACATTATTGCCCCTTGAGACGGAAGAATTGGGAAGTGGCAGCAGCTACACACAGGGAAAGAGGCTCAAATCAGCTGTCTTCACTTTGTCCTGCTCATTCTTCTCCCAATGGGAGGACTTTATTGCCAGTCTGGCAGACAGACTCAGATTTGTCTCACTGTAACAATTAGCGCTAAGAATTGCCCTGGATGGACAGAAAGTTCAGACTTCTTTCAGGCAACAGTATCAGAGAAACGGATCACATTGAATGTGAAAGAAAAAAAACCAAGGATATTATTGGCCAATACCATGGGCAGAAATCAGGCAAACTGTTAGAACCTTTGTTCTCAGCCGGTTCACCTGGGAGATGAAGGGCGTAAGGCTTGCTGCGGATCCATGGTAGCCAGGGAGCGTCCTTAGCACCGCCACCAGAGGAGACAGCAGGAAGTCTGCGCCCCTGTTGTCTTTGCAGCGGGCCCTGGCTGCTGCAAGAGAAACTTGGGTCTCTCGGTAAGACTTCCCCGACACAGACACACGGCTCCTGTCAGCCACACGTGAAGCACCCACTCGTCACTGGTGTTCAGGCTCCTGTTCTGGGCGAGCCCTAGGCGGGGCATTACCTTAGGAAGAACCCCAAGCTGAGGAGTAGGTGTGGCTGTTGGAAAGAGGGTAGGATTCTTTCTAGGCAGAACGTAAATTCAGAAGGAGTAAAGGAGTGGAGTGAATGAAGAAACCCGTGAATAGGTCTTTACCATTTGGGTTTCAGTTTCCAAGAGAGCAGAGGATAGCGTTTGCACTCCCTTTTCTGAGAGGGTTGCAGAGCTGCTTCCGCCACTTGGTGACTCCCTTTAAAATTGCTTAGTTTCTGGATTTTAGGTGTTTTTGTTTTATCCTTAAATGGGAGTACTTGTCTAATTCAAAATGCCATGTGAGACCTAAAAGATATAATGTGATTTAAAGTGTAAACTTGTGTCTTTGGTTACAAAATGTTTTTTCAAAAATATCAGCTTATTAAATGCTGCTGAGGCACTAAACCACATGAGCTTTTTTCTAAATGTTAAACTATTCATATCATCTATATTATTTTTATTGTATGCTAACATTATTAAAATAAAAGACGGCTTTTTTCAAGGACACATCTAATAGAAGCATGTAGACAATAAGGACATGGTGTCAATGTCATTGTGAGATTTTACTTCACATTTAGCTCTGAGCTCCTGCAGTTGAAGATGGAAAACGAAGTAGAAAAACAGTTTGAAATTGCGCACTCTATCTGTACTCCAACTTAAAGTCCATTTTAGCGTTTACAGATTTCAGACTTCTGCCCTTCGAAGGCATTTTGATCTAGTTAGAGGTAGAGACACAGAAATGGCATGGAATCTGAGTTTGTCCTGACAGGTTTGGGTCCTGGTTCTGACCTCACAGACTATCTAAATGTCACCGTGGCTCAGCTCCATTCCTAGAAAAGAGCCATACAGCAAGTCTAAATAACCGTTTAAGCATTACCCCAAATAGCATGCGAATAATAGCTAATAATGGAAGGCTTATGAATATTTATTGATTATGACATCAGGGACTATGCTAGGCATTGATCACATCTTATGAGATCAGACAGCATTTCCCCAGTTATACAGTTTAATAGTTTCGATGACTCTCCTGCAATTGGAAACCCTTTCATGGGGACATTTTGGACTTGAGTTCCAGATCTCTCAGTGCTCCAAGCGCTCCCTCACACTGCCTCTCACATAGTATTTGACACAGGTGTTTGAGAAGTGATGTCTTCATCTCCTTCCTATTGTATAAGATGCTCTAAGGTTTAACTCTGAAACACATCAGATCAGAAGAAAGTTATGTTATGCTGCTTTGTCAAAGAACTATTTGAACAGAAAAATAAGATATTGTACCCAAGTCTGTAAAGGTGTCTGATTTTTTAAAAAATTACTCTTAACAAAAGTATAATTTTTGCTGTATAATGGCCATATACATGGGACAATAACCACTGTTCATTCAGAAGATATTCATATCTCCTGAGAAACTAATAATCTTCCATACAATGAAGAACACTGAATAATACTGATGCTTTCCTCTATAATTGCCTATTAATCCTAAGTAAAATTAACTTATAAATTGAGAAAAGCCATGGACTTCATGTGAAACATGCCATGAATTAAGAAATATCTCTTTGAATTCAAAACAGTTCTCTCTTTAAGGCTGTGTGTGTGTGTGTGTGTGTGTGTGTGTGTGTGTGTGTGTGTGACTGTGTCAATTTAATAAATGGAAAAAATGTACATTCCCCAGACATGTTTCCCTGATAGTATTAAAGGTCCTCTGTTGGTGTATTTTTTATTAATTGGCATATAGGTTATCTTCTGGTAAGCAAACGTTTTAAAGCACGGCCACTAACACTTGACATGTTGACATGAGCACATGACATGCATTGAAATGTCCAATATCAGGGGAATGTGCACAAAAGTCTTAAAGAGATCACATATAAGAAGACTAAATGATTTTTATTTTGCAAGTTTGAGAAGAGAAGAACATTATGGACAAAGACATTTCAAAGACTAATGAGTCAGGAGTCTCTAAGACAAGGTGACAGAGAAGCTGAGCAATGGTGCTGCAGCCTGTACTTCAAAACATAAAGCCTACTGTCCAGTGAGGTGAGTGGGGTGACTTTGGTGGGTCCCAGCAGGTAATGTGGAGGCTGCACTCTCCATCCCCTACTCTCGCACATGGGCACACACACACACACACACACACACACACACACACACGCGCGCCCACGTGCACGCAACCAAACCGACTTTGTTGATGTTTGTGGAGACTAGCCATGGGTTCCTGGCACAGCTTTGCTTTTTCATAAGTCATCTTCTATTCTGTCAACATCAGTGGTACCTACAATCCTGTGAAATTCTAATGCCAATTTCTCTCCCAATTCTGAAAGTGTCCAGAATTATTAATTTCTTCCAAAAAAGGAAGTTATTGAAAAGTTATTGAGTAATATGAGATATTATCCACTTCTTTTTAATTCCATATATAATATACTTTATTTTATATTATATATATATATATATATATATCTCCTCATCCTTTGGTAAATACACTTAAAGAGTTAGTAATAAAGGGAATACACAAATAAGATCAATAAGATGAAATTTTTAAGGTGTGGTGTTTTGTAAAGGGGGAATGCATTCAAGAAAAGAATAATTAGTTTACACATCCCCTCTTTTTTTGAAGACAGAGTCTCACTTTGTTGCCAGGGCTAGAATGCGGTGGTGCCACCATAGCTCACTGTAACCTCAAACTCCTGGGCTCAATTGATCCTCCTGCCTCAGCCTCCTGAGTAGCTGGGACTGCAGGCATGTGCCACAACATCTGGCTAATTTTTAAAATATTTTGTATAGAGGCAAGGTCTTATTGGGTTGCTCAGGTTGGTCTCAAACTCCTTGCCTCAAGTGATCCTCCTGCCTTGGCCTCCCAAATTCTAGGATTATAGGTGTGATCCATCACACCTGGATAGTTACCCCACTTTTTGATCCATGATGCTCCTATCACTTAGCATCTTTCCTGTATCCTCTGATACCAGACTAAAACCAACGAAGGCACTCCTTCACCTGCCACTGAGAAGTCACACCTATTAACAGTGCATGTTTGGGTACAGAAAAATTCCCCATCACCTATCCTGAATAATGTCAATTTCGAAAATTGTGTGAGAACTTTACTGGGAAAACAAGGAAAGACTTTGACCTTTAACATTGTTGGTTTCAAAGTATAATCTAAGTAAATAATCAGATAAGCACACAAATATGTGTTTGAAATTTCTAAATGAAAAATGATAATTAGATAAAGTGAAATACAAAACAAGCACAAGATATGATTATATGTCGCTATACTTATCGCAGGAAATATGTCAACAATATATTGAAAAGTAACAAAGGTAAAATTATTATGTTTGAGGTCTTTATAATTATTAAAATTACATATGTATATATATTTTATATAAATATATACCTAATGCTATAGACTGAAAAGATAGTCATCAAAATGCTAACTCTTGGTAATGAAATTATGGGTGCTTTAAAGAAGTTTCTTCTCTATATATTCATGTACTATAGAATTATAACTAAAATTATTAATTTCATATAAAAGCATGAGAACTATTTTATATATCAAAGACAAAAATGAAATTAAGAAAAAATTAAAGATTAAGTAAAGAAAATAGATATAAAGGATACTGTTGAACATAGAAAGTATG